CCCAACCTCATTGCAAGATATGACCAATCTGATTTCACTACTACTCTACTACATACACACACTTCCCCCATGTACAGTATCCAATCCATAGCTGCAGTATTCCAGAATCCGAGTTCTGCCACCTGAGGCCCAAGTTGTTGTCCTGGTGTCGTTTCGATGCTGCTGACCCCCCCTCCCCGGGCCCATCTCCGACCCCCACTCCCGACCATTTCCACCCACAACCACCACACCCCCACCCCACACACCCACATCCCGTGCAAACATATCGACCGACTCTCATCCCGTCAACAGCATCGCTTCTGGCCGCCTGCTGCTCACCACCGATCGCCGCTCGAGCCGACCCGTCCACCGCCGGCGCAACCCCGATCAGGATAGGCAGAGCACGAGTATAGTATGATCTACCCGTGGACAAGTGGCAATGGCTCTCAGTCCCTTCCCCCACCCCCACCTCCCCTCCTTCTCCCCGCCTTGCCCATCCTGCCCCAGCCCACCTGTCAACCAACCCAGCTGGTGGCGAGAGGAGCGGCGGGACCGACGAGGCCAGTGGGCTGGTCAGGGCGAGGGAGAGGGGAAAAAGGCGGGGAGGAGGGATGGAAGATGAGGTGGTTAACAAGACTACACTGGTCTGCCGCCCGATCTTGTGTCCGGTTGCCCGTGTCGTCGTCTCGTGTCGACTGCTAACTGGCCAGCAACTCGCCGCTCGCTCGCCTGCCCGCTCAACCACTCACAGCCAAGCCAGATCAAGCCCGATCAAGCTCAGCACGACCTGCAGCTGGCTATACAGGGGGAGTAGCTGGTGGAGTCACAGGGATTGGAGGTGAGAGAGTGTAGATGGCCCGAGTGGGATGAGTGTGATGGCTGCCACAGCTAGCGCTGCTGCTGTGGCCGAGGCCGAGGCGAGCAGCGAGTGATCGAGTGACGGCCAGCCGCTCGTCGCTCAGCCACTCGCCGGCATGGGCGCCGTGCTGCTGCTGAGGCGCGAGAAGAGGAAGCCCAAGCCCGAGGCGGCGATAACCAGGTTGGTGATAATGCTGATGCTGACGAGGATAGTGATGGGGAGGGGGGATGGTGATGGCTGGCGATGGGAGTGATGGTTGAGGCGGCGGCGTTCATGGTTGCGATAGCGGATGACGACCCGAGGCGGTGACTGTGGCTGAGGCCGAGGCTGCGACTGCTGGGGAGAGAGAGAGAGGGAGGATGAGAGGGATGTGACGAGGAAGAGGGATGAATGATACATGTATAGCAAGCAAGCCAGCTACTGCAGATCACCATCGGCGCCGGATCCGCCAGTCCAGTCTCCGCCTTCCGCCCCGCCCGGTTTCGGTTCTTGTGAACCGAGTCCCACGCGTCCGCGGGCGCGACCACTCCTCTTGCACGCACACGCGCATGAGTGCGCTCCCACCACGCCAACGTGCCCTACAGCATGCTTCGTCGGCGTTTGACGACAAGCTCACTTCGCTCGACTCTCTGTTACTCCAGCGGACTGGTCGCCTTGGCGAGGCAAAGGCTTCTCGCACAAAGGCCACGCCGTCGGTGACAACGCTGAGCTCGACGCGGGCAAACGCCGCAAGCTCTTCACCGGCCCGCAAGGTCTCAGCCACCGCATCACGATGGTCAAGCCGTCCCAGTCCGGCCTTTTCTCCCGATGCCGCTGGTGGCCCGCGCGCCAACGCCTCGTCTGTCTCGTCGCGCCTGTACCGGCGCAATGAGCTGGTAGCCAAGCTGGCCGTTGTCCGCGCCGAAGCGCATGCAATGATGCAAGTTGATGTGGCCGGCAAGCTGCATAAGCTTCGCCATGACGAGCAGTTTCGTCGCTCGTTTATCGACTCTGTCAAGGCTCAGCGCCGCGCCGCAGGCTCGCCGCCGCGATCGCGCCGGCCCCGCCGGCTGGCTCCACTGCATGGCAAAGACGACACTGTGTCCCGCCCAGCCACTCCGCCGGCTACCAAGATCTCGTACAAGGCCTCGCAAGAACTGGCGAGTAGCACTCAGCTGAGTGACTTGACCGACTCCCCTCTGCCTCCTGCAAGCTGAGATGGCTTGTCGCCTCCTTGTGCGTTCACTCGTCGCCGCCGCTGCCGCTACCTGAGCCCTCGCCCGAGCCCCCACCGGCTGTCTTGTCAGCCTCGGTGGCGAACTCGACTCCGATTTCAACATCGGCATCGAGGTCGAGGCTCTTGTCGGCGCCACCTGTTTCGAGAAACTTGCCGAGCTCCTTGGGGAGGTACAGCGGGTTGAGCGGGTTGCCGTACACTTCGACTCGGTGGAGGAACGGCAAAGCCGCGAGGTCGACAGGCAGCGTCGTCAACTGATTATGCGAGATGTCCAGCTCATGGAGCGATGCGAGCTTTCCCACCGTCGCCGGGAGGGTGGTCAGCCGGTTCTGCGACACATCAAGAAGCTGCAGGTTCGTCAGCTTGCCGATCGCGTCAGGGAGTTCGGTCAGCTCGTTCTGGGCCAGCATCAGCCGTGTCAGCTGATTGCAGGTAAACAGTCCCGCGTCCAGCCGCGAGATGCTGTTGCCGGCGAGATACAGCCACCGCAGCGACTTGAGCGCCATGATCGCCTCGGGCACCTCGACCAAGGCGTTGCCCACCAGATTGAGTTCCTCGAGCGCCACAAACGAGCTCAACTCGGGCGGCAACTCCGTCAGCATGTTCACCGATGCATCAAGCGCCTTGAGCTTGTGACCGAGCTCAATAATCGCCGCAGGCATCGTGTCCAGCCCAAACCCCGACAGCTCCAGCGCGTCGTACCCAAACTTGCGCGCCCGTTTCACCTCGTCGGTCACCTGCTGGAACGGCGTCCGCTGCGGAATAGTGTACACTGCCGGACCACCACACCGTGCTCTCTGTCAGTCATACTCACCTCTTACCCTCCTCTCGCCCTCTCGCCACCTCACCACCTCGGCACCCTAATGCCTTGCTGCCCACCATACCCCCGGCGTCGTAACCGCCTCTGCCTCCCGCGAACCGTTGTTGACCGCTTCTCACTCTCCACCCGCACCCCTCCACCAGCCGCCACCGCACACACACAAACACACAGTACCACTACGTACCGACTTTGGCCTTCTTTCGGCGCCGCTTGGGCTTCTTCTGGCCACGGTTCATGAATCTTCTCGCACAGGACGCAGACAAGTGTCCTCGTCTCGTGGTGTCGGCAAGATCGATCGCCCGCCTCGACGCGGCCAGTGAACACTCTCTGCTCCCTAGAGAACTCCCTATTTACACATACACATGCTGGCGACCCTCATCGCGGCCAGCAGACTTCAGGATGTGCGCCATCTCGGCTTGGCGCGACTGAATGGGGATGGCGATGCCCACAGCTCCAAGAACGGCGTCAAAGACCACCACCGAGTCCGACTCAACTGCGTGGGTTGGATGGACAGAAACATAGACGCCCATCGGGATGTGTCCCTTGAGCGCCCGATCAGCAAACGCCGCTGCTGCGCCCGAGAGCAGGTTCGGCACGTCAAAGGTGGTGAGGTGCGCGAGCTCCGCCGAGTCTGACCCTGCCAGCGCCGGCGGCGCCTCGAGGGCATACACCCGCCCGGCCGCCGCGTTCGGCTGCTCTCTCCAGCGAGGCGACGGCTCCACATACGCCCGCTCCGACACCGTCTCAAGCACCACTAGCCGACTGGGTGCAAGCGCCTCGACAACAACGTGTGCCAGCGGCGCAAGGAGCGCCTCGTCGGTCGCCCGCGCCACGATCACACCGACCGCGCCGCCCTCGAGCCCGACCATAACCGCCAGCAGCCCGCTCTTCTCGCTCACCTCGGTCGTGAGCATGCTTTGTGCCTCCAGCGCGCTCTCCATCGCAACCTCGCACTTTGCCCCATGCACCACCGCCAGCGTTGTATGCGGCAGCGTCGCCAGCGCCGCTAGCCCGAGTCCGCCGCGACCGACAACCACCACCTCTGCCGACGGGAGAGCCGCTGCTTCACCCACCATGCTCACTGCCAGCCCGTAATGTGCAGCTAGAAGTTCTGCCCGTCCCGCCGGCTCGGCGACTGTCTCCAGTTCGCTGTACAGCGCCGCCAGAGCCTCCTCGGTCGCCGCCTCCACCGCCTCGTCCTCCTCGTCGGACCCATACGCCGAAGACCAGTTCCTCGACCACGAGTCCATCTGCATAGCCTCCTGGAACGCCTGCATGCTGCCTCTGTCTCTGCTTCGGCGGTGGCAAGTCAAGTGCGGCACTCGCAGTCGCCCCCGACAGAGCGCGACCGCTCCCCTGCCAGAGCGCGACCCAGCGACCACACTTCCTTTGATGTCCTTCTACGCTGCAAACTCGGCACGCAAATCGGCGGCCATGTACACAGCCTGTGAGCCCAGTATCTCCTCCACAAGCATCTCGCCAAGGGAGAGGAGCCGCGAGTTACGGAACCGGTCATGGTCGATAACCACGTGCCAGAGAAGGCCGTCGCCCTCGGCGTGCCCGACAGGTGCATGTTTGCTCTCGTCCTGCTCAAGAAGCGTCTGCTCGTCGCCGTTGGGCACGTACAGAGGCGCTGCAACGTCACCATTCTCGTCGATCGCCACCGTGTTGTACAGCCGGCCGCGGAGATCATGGGTGACATGCGTCTGAACCCGCCGCAGCACGTATCGCGCAGTTGTGAACCGCATAGCCCGGATGGTGTGCTTGCACTCGGTAAAGGTCACCGAGCCACGGGCCCAGGCCGGGCCGGGTGTGGCAGCGCTCTCGCTAGGCCCATCGCCGCCCCCTGCAGCCAGAGGTGCTTGCTCGTCGCCGTCGCCGTCGGGCGTGAACTGGAGCATGACAATGTTGGAGCCTTGTGTGTGCTGCAGCGCCATCCGCTGGACGTGATAGACGTGGCCAGCGAGCGGCGGTATCGACGGAAAGAACCGCATGGTAAAATCACTGCCGACGAGCGTGTTGGGAGGACCACACCGTGGAAAACCGTGTACCGCGTCACCCAGTTGGTCTCGACCCCAAAGTCCTGCACTGTCAGCTCGTGCTCATCGACAAGAAACATAGAGCCTGCCGAGTGGTGAGTGAATCGGATGGTCGGTGCGAGGACGAGCGTCCGCGGGCTCCCGATGAGCGTGGTGAGATCGTCATCTCTCGTCTTGGGCGCGATCACATTGGTCCGCCCGTACGGGCATGTCTGCATAAAGTAGGCAAAAGGCTCGCCTTCGTCCGGCATGAGCACGTAAAAGCCATCCGACTGTATCTTGCCGCCAAGATCAGCCGGATTGGCCACCGGAACACTCACCCGCTGGCCTTCACTCCACCCTGCGCCGCTCGCCGCCATCAGCACCCCATCGTCGAGCGGCATGTCCATGCTGTAGAAGCAGGCCTCGTCGAGCACATCCTGTACCACTAGATCTTGTGGGAGCGTCGCCCGCCCCTTCCGTAGCACGTCCAGCAGCACACCAAACGGAGCTGGTGACCGGTCCACCACGTACGCCCCGTCGTCGTCAGTCGCCGCCGGCAACCGGCCGGACAGCAGAGACGCAAAGAACGGCGAGACGCTCGCCAGTCGGCTTCCCGACGTCACAAACACCTTGCCGCCAACATTGACCTTGATAAGGTCGCCTCCCACACAGCTCATGTGCTCCTCGTTGTCACTGTCCCACGCTTTCTGCCCTCGCGTCACTCCAAGCCCTCTACTTGTCGCCTGCCTGCTTGCGGCTCGAGTCGGGTGGCAAACCACGGCGGGCGGAGCAAAATCTCGTCCACACCATCACCCTGACAGCCGTAGTTGTCATGCGACATGTGGAAATCGCAGCCTTGCGTCGCGGATAAGGTGGCGCGCGGCGGCCGCATGGAATGACGGCACGTGGCGACGTCTACGACACCCGAGAATTTGTTGCTCACACTCAGGCGCACCACAACGCACCCGTCACGCTGCAATCGGCTACTCGTCGATATCCTTGTCGATGCGGTAAGGTTCAAAGAGGGCGGTGTCAAACTGAGCGATGGCCTCCAAAAACTCCGAGAGCCACAGGATAAGCCGATTCTCGACAACACCGATCTCGCTCTTGCTGGTCTCGTCGCTGATGACCAACACCTCAGGGCCGGTGCTGCGGGCGCTCTTCGAGTGCCGGAGCACGCCACGCCCAAAGTGGATCAGGTCTCGAAGCTTTTGGCGAGTCCACTTGCTCCTCTTGCCCTTTTGGCTCCGGAGCTGAACCCGGACCCGGACCTGGTTGAGGATTCCGGTCCGCAATCGGGTCTGCATCAGCCGCGCATTGCACGGCGCTTCTGAAGATGGCGCGTCTCGGTGACCTTTGACTTCGTATGCGAGCTCGCTCTGCCATGACCGTTTGGTGGCAGAGTCAAAGATCCAGCCCGAGGCCACAATCCAGATTCCGGCCGCAACAGCGAGCAGATACTCGACACTCACTTTGTCGACAACCAAAGAGCCGTTCACCTCCTCAGCTGTCACAATGAGATGAGTGACGTGGGACGAGAACTTCCTCGCAATCTCGACGCTAGGACAGCGATTCTTAACCACGGAATTGATGATATCCTTGATGTCCTCGCCAACGCTACGATCGTGCATTAGAACCCGAGGCCGTCTAGACTGCCGCACGTACACCTCGGTCCCGGCGACACCGAGCCGCGCCTGTTGCGCCGCCTCGTGTTCCAGGGCTGCCTCCAGGTGTGCTCTCTCCTTAGCCTCCAGTGCCGGTGGCGTAGTCACCGACGACGACGCCACTGTAGATGATGGCCCACCTGCTCCTCTACTGCCTGAGCCGTTTGCCATCAGCTTGCTCCGCTTCTTGCGAGGTCGATCATGCTGCCCGCTGCGCCCGCGACCGCGACCGCTTTCACGCCCGTACCCACTGCTGGGTGGCGGGCTAGTGCTGCGCTTGCGCTTGGTCCTTACCTTGCTCTCGCCCTCTGACTCGAGCTTCGACACCGAATCGCGTAGGTGCTTGACAGTGAGGCCACTACCTACGCGAGCTACCTCGCGAGTAAAGGCTTCCGTGGCGACCTTGGCCTGGACGCTTTCTGCGGTTGTGGCCGCGGTCTCGGTATTGGGCTGCACAGCCTCAGTAGCAGTGCCTGGTGACGGCGCCGCCACCGTCGCCTCGATCAGCTCAGGAACAGCCTGGCCTTGGCTTCCGTGATCAGCGAGCTGAGGCCCCTGGCCCTCGTTCACCTGGGGCTGCACAGCCTCAGTAGCAGTGCCTGGTGACGGCGCCGCCACCATCGCCTCGATCAGCTCGGAACCAGCCTGGCCTTGGCTTCCGTGATCAGCGAGCTGAGGCCCCTGGCCCTCGTTCACCTGCGGCTGCACAGCCTCAGTAGCAGTGCCTGGTGACGGCGCCGCCACCGTCGCCTCGATCAGCTCAGGAACAGCCTGGCCTTGGCTTCCGTGATCAGCGAGCTGAGGCCCCTGGCCCTCGTTCACCTGGGGCTGCACAGCCTCAGTAGCAGTGCCTGGTGACGGCGCCGCCACCATCGCCTCGATCAGCTCGGAACCAGCCTGGCCTTGGCTTCCGTGATCAGCGAGCTGAGGCCCCTGGCCCTCGTTCACCTGGCTACGGGCGCGACCCGCCTGTGCTTGCCTGTTCGGTGTCCGCTTCTGCTTCCGCTTCTGCTTCTGCTTCCGTGCCTTTGTCTCCGCACACTCCCTCCAATCGTTCTCTAGCTTAGCAGTATATGCCGCCAACTCCGCCTTGCGCTTTGTACCGTCTTTTGCTTCCAAATACTCTGCTACCGCCTTGATCGGCGGCGCCATTTCTGCGGCAGCGCGGGCTACGATGACTTGGCGCCGATTGAACTCCTCCCGGCAGTTTGGGCAGTATTTGGATACGCACTTTGCAAGACACTCTTTGCAGAAGATGTGAAAGCAAGGAGTGTACACTGGATTCATCGGCGTGTCACGGCTGCATCTCCATGCCATTTCCAACCATGAGTAACCCGCCCACCTCCCCCTCCACCTACCCTTCTCCCTCTCCACATGTGTGCCCTTCCACTCAACCTCATGATCCCCTCCCCTAGCACGTACCACACAGAACACATCACCGCCGTCATGAGCGCATTCAGAGTATCATTCACCTTTTGCTCTACATCCATAGCAGTAACGGTGGCGACTGTTTCGTCTTCTCTCTCCTCCCCCCTTCCCGAGACGTGTGCCCTCTCGCCCTCACTACCCCTCCCTCCCCTCTCCGTTACAATCCCTCCACTCCCACCACCACCCAATCCATTCATCCGGTCATCTTTTTGCTACATCTTCATGAAGTCTGCCAACACCGACGTGGCCGCAACCGACACACGTTAGCCATAATGGCACGTGCCCCCTCCCTCTCCCCCCCCCCCGCCCCCACCCCCACGGGGCCGGATGAGGAGAGAGATGCATTGAGAGATAGATAGAAGAGGAGGGAGGGGAGGGAATGGATGGCGGGCGGGAGGATGGGGCGGCTAAGGGGCCCTCCATCATCCTTCCCCCCCCTTCCCCCCCTCCCGTCTCCACCTCCACTCCAAACGCAACAGGCAGGCAGCAGTAACAAATTCCGAATTGCCGACACCTCCGCCACCTCGGCTGCCACCTCACCAACAGCTGCTCCCGTTGCTGTTCAGCCACCCCTCTTCTAACACAGTACGTACACCCACTATCTCCCTCCCTCCTCCCTCCCTCCTCCCCCTCCCCCACACAAACATACGCACATACACGTACACACACAAAAACCCTCTTCCGCGCACTGCTCCTCCATCCCCCCTCTCTTGGCCCATAGCCCACCTGGCTTTGCTCACGTGGCGGTTTACGGAATTTGAAGGATTGAAGACACCCTTGTCAAGATGGCCTCGGTCCGTGGGCCTGCTCTAGGCACGTATCCCGATGTTGAGTCGTATGTCAAGGCCAAGGGAGGCTCGCGCGTTATTCGCAAGTGTCTGGTGGCCAACAACGGCATTGCCGCTGTCAAGACCATCCGGTCGGTCCGTGACTGGGCGTACACCACCTTTGGATCCGAGTCAGCCATCCAGTTTGTGGTTATGGTGACGCCCGAGGACCTTGCTGCCAACGCCGCGTACATCCGCATGGCTGAGGAGGCCATCGAGGTGCCTGGCGGGACGAACAACAACAACTATGCCAATGTCGACCAGATCGTTGACGTCGCCATCAAGGCTGGCGTCGACGCCGTCTTTGCCGGCTGGGGCCACGCCTCGGAAAACCCCAAGCTGCCCGACGCCCTTGACGCAGCCGGCATTGTCTTTATCGGCCCGTCCGGTGACGCCATGCGCGCTCTCGGTGACAAGATTGCTTCGACAATTGTCGCCCAGTCTGTCGACGTCCCGTGCCTTCCCTGGTCCGGCGACTCGCTGCAGCTGCCCGAGGACTCGGCCGGTGCCACCACCGTGCCTGCGGACCTGCTGGCCAAGGCCTGCGTCACCTCGGCCGCCGACGCGTCGGATGCTGCCGAACGCATCGGCTATCCGGTCATGATCAAGGCTTCCGAGGGTGGCGGCGGCAAGGGCATCCGCATGGTCCAGTCGGCTGACACCGTCGTCGACGCCTTCCGCCAGGTCGCCGCCGAGGTTCCCGGCTCGCCCATCTTCATCATGAAGCTCGCGCCGTCCGCCCGCCACCTCGAGGTTCAGCTGCTCTGCGACATGCACGGCAACGCCATGTCGCTCTTTGGTCGCGACTGCTCCATGCAGCGCCGTCACCAGAAGGTGCTCGAGGAGGGCCCGGTCACCGTCGCCACCGTCGACCAGCAGATTGCTATGGAGGCCGCTGCCGTCCGCCTCGCCAAGCAGGTCAACTACGTCTCGGCCGGTACCGTTGAGTATCTCTACTTTGACGACGCCCACTTTTTCCTTGAGCTCAATCCGCGCCTCCAGGTCGAGCACCCGGTCACCGAAATGATCACCGGCGTCTCCATCCCGGCCTCGCAGCTCCAGGTCGCCATGGGCATTCCGCTCTTTGCCATTCCGGAAATCCGCGTCTTCTACGGCCTCGACCCGAACGAGACAGCGCCGTTTGACCTCTCCGCCCGCCCTGAGCCGTCGTGTGCCGTCATTGCTGCCCGTATCACTGCGGAGAACGCCGAGGAGGGCTTCAAGCCGACCTCGGGACTCATCACCGACCTATCGTTTGCCTCCACCACCAACGTCTGGGGCTACTTTTCAGTTTCGGCCGGCTCCTCGCTCCACGAGTACTCGGACTCGCAGTTTGGCCATCTCTTCGCCTCGGGCCCACCCGCGAGGACGCCCGTCGCGCCCTCGTCCGCGCCCTGCAGAACGTTGTCATCCGCGGCGAGATCCGCACCCCAGTCGAGTACCTCGCCAACGTCCTCGAGACTCCCGAGTTTGTCGACAACACGTTTTCCACTGCTTGGCTCGACGCTCGCATCCGCTCGGGCCTCCTCCACCGGACCGTCAATCTTGACGAGGTCTTCTGCGGCGCACTCGCCCGCGTTCACGCCGCCGCCACCAAGCGCGCCAACGAGTTTGAGGCTGCCCTCGCCCGCGGACAGATCCCGCCTCTCTCGCTCCTCGACAACAACTACGCCGTCACGCTCATCTTCAACTCGGTCAAGTACGAGCTCTCGGCCGTTCACACCGCAAAGTCCTCGTACGCCCTCACCCTCAACGGCGCCACCGCCTCCGCCGAGCTCGTCGAGCTGGTTGACGGCACCTTCCTCGTCCACATGGACGGCAAGACCCACACCCTGTACGCCCGCGAGGAGGCTTCCGGCCTGCGCATTGTCGTCAACGGCCGCACCTGCGTCTTCTCGGACGAGTTTGACCCCTCGCTCATCCGCTCGCTCACCCCAGGCAAGATTGTCAAGTTCCTCGTCGACGACAACTCGCACGTCGCCGTCGGCGAGCCCATCGCCCACGTCGAAGTCATGAAGATGATCATGCCCATGGCTGCTCCAGCCGCAGGCGTCATCTCCTTCTCCAAGTCAGAGGGCTCCATCCTCGCCCCGGGCATGGTCATTGCCACGCTTGACCTCGACGACGTGTCCGCCGTCGAGCGCGCCTCGCCCTACGATGGCGCCCCGCCGGCCTTTGGCCCGCCGCGCCCGCTCCCCACCAAGCCGCACAAGGAGCTCGAGCTCGCCGCCGAGGTCATCGCCGCCGCCTTTGACGGCTACTCGCCGAGCAATCTCTCCGATGCCGTCGCCCTCTTTGTCAAGGCCCTCGGCGACCCCAAGCTCGCTCTCTGCCAGGTCTCTGAGCTCCTCGCCTCGATCGAGTCGCGCCTGCCCGACACCCTCTTTGCCTCGCTCACCGCGCTCCTCGACTCGTTTGAGGCCGCTGCCGACGCCGCCGACGCCGCCGGCAACCCGGCCCCGGCCTTCCCGGCCAACGAGCTCCTTGCCGCCATCGACGCTACCGAGGCCGGCCTCGCCCCGAAGCGCTCGAGGGCATTGCCCGTACGTCGCCGTCCTCCGCGCCCTCCTCACCGAGCACGCTTCCGGTGCCTCGGCCTACGCCGTCTCGCGCGTCAAGGCGCTCATGGACCAGTACATCTCGGTCGAGACGCAGTACGGCCAGAGCAACACCCGCCGCGAAGAGGTGCTCTGGGACCTTCGCGACGAGAACAAGGACGATGTCGATCGTGTCGTCGGCCTCGCCCGCTCGCACTCGGGCCTCGAGAACAAGAACGCCGTCCTCGGCGCGCTCCTTGCCTGCGTCGCCGAGCTCCGCGACTGCGACCTCCCGGTCAAGCCGCGCGCGTACGTCTCGATCCGCGGCGCCACCTCGCCGTCGGCTCGTGCCCAGATCGGGTGCGTCGAGGACTACCAGTCCCAGCTCGAGGCACTCGCCTCGTTCACCGGCAAGGGCCACGCCCGCCTCGCTCTCGCCTCCCGCGTCCTCCTCATCCACGCCAACCTCCCGTCGTTTGCCGAACGCAAGGCTGCCATGGGCGAGCTTCTCGCCTCGGTCGCCGGCGCCTCGCCCGACGAGCACCACGGCCTGCTCACTCGCCTCGTCGACCGCCCCTCGTCGCTCTCGGACGTTCTGGTGCCGTTCTTCACCGACCCTGCCACCGCCTTTGCCGACCTCGCGCTCAAGGCCTACATCATCCGCACCTACCGCGCGTACGACGTCCTCGAGTTTGTGCCGGTCGTGCCCGAGGGCGTCGAGAGCCTCGTCGCCGCCGTCGCCTTCCACTTTAACCTTCCGGTCCGCAAGTCGCGCCCGATGACCCCGTCGAGCCGCAACTCATCGGCGTCGTCGATGGACGCTGCGTCAGTGTCGGCCACCTCGAGCTCGGGCCACCTCGCGACCCGGACCTCGGTCGCCGGCTTCCACTCGTCACCTAGTATGACCGCCATCTCGGAGATGGCGTCGCTGCCGCTGCCGTCGCCGTCGGGCAACTCGGGTGAGCACCGCTACGGCGTCATGTACGCCGTCAACGGTGGAATGGACGCGCTCTACGCCTCGGCAGATGCCCTCCTTGCCGCATACACCCCGCCGGCCCACACCCTCGGCTTCCCGGCCTCCTCGCCGCTCTCGTTTGTCAACATCATCAACTTTATCGTGGCGGTTGAGGGCCCGCTCGCCCCCGGCCAGGCCGAGGCTGCCGCCGCCGCCTTTGGCACCTTCCTTCAGGACGCAGCCCGCTCGGCCACGCTCCGCGAGCTCTGCGTTCGCCGCATCACCCTCGGCCTCGTGGTCGAGGGCTCGTACCCGGTCTTCTTCACCTACCGCGGCCACCTCGAGTACGCCGAGGACGGCATCCACCGGTACATCGAGCCGCCGCTGGCATTCCAGCTCGACATCGGCCGCCTCTCCAACTACAACATCCGCGCCGTTCCCACTGGCCACTCGCACCTGCATGTCTACGCCGCGCATGCCAAGGGCGCTCCGGCTGGCACTGCCGAGCGCATCTTTGTCCGGTCGATTGTTCGCGATCCCGAGTCGTTCACCGCTGCCGCCACCGTCGACCTGCTGGCAACCGAGGGCGAGCGCATCCTTGTCGATGCCCTCGACGCCATCCAGATGATCAACGTGACGCACCCGAACCTCGCTTCGGCCGATTCTAACCACATCTTCATCAACCTCCTCCCCAACATGGTCATCTCGCTCGACGAGGTTCGCGCCATTGGCGCCCGCTTTGTCCAGGCCCACGGCCGCCGCATGTTCCAGCTCCGTGTCATGGAGACTGAGCTGAAGCTCAACCTCCAGTTTGCCGGCTCGCCTGACCCGGACGCCTTTGTCCCGGTCCGCATCCAGATCAAGTCGCGCTCGGGCTTTGTCGTCCGCTACCACGTCTACGTCGAGACGCTCGGCGATGCGCCCAACGGCACGCCCATCTTTACCGCCATTTCGCAGCCGGGCGCGCTCGCCGAGCCCGCGCCGTGGAACGGGCTCCCCATCTCGACCCCGTACGCGCTGCCCAACCCGGAGCAGGCCGCCCGCCGCCGCGCTCAGAACCTGGACACCGTCTACATCTACGACTTCCCCGAGGTCATGGACCAGGCCGTCCGCCAAGTCTGGGGCCGCCACGTCACCGCTGTCGTCGAGGCCGGCGAGGCGCCGCCGACCATCCCGGCCGTCTGCTGCGAGGCCACCGAGTACCGCCTCGGCGCCGATGGCAAGCTTGCTGCCTGGCCGAACGCCTTTGACGCCTCGGCCCCGCCGCCACGCATCGGCATGGTGGCGTGGAAGTGTGTGTGGTACACGCCCGAGTGTCCGGCTGGCCGGGTTGTGGTTGTGGTCGGCAACGACATCACTTGCCTGCAGGGCTCGTTTGGCCCGGCCGAAGACGAGCTCTTCTTCCAGGCCTCGGCCATGGCCCGCTCGCTCGGCGTTCCGCGCGTCTACCTCTCTGCCAACTCGGGTGCCCGCATCGGCATGGCCGAGGAGCTCCGTGCCAAGTTCAAGGTTGCGTGGCTCGACTCGACCGCGCCGGAGCGCGGCGCCGAGTACCTCTATCTCGAGCTCGACGACGCCGCTGAGCTCGGCAACGATGTGGTTCACTGGGAGGAGGTCGACGGGCCGGATGGCACGCGCGTGGCGCGCATTGTCGACATCATCGGAACCGCCGATGGCATCGGCGTCGAGAACCTCCGTGCCTCGGGCATGATTGCCGGTGAGACATCGCTCGCCTACGAAGACGTCTTTACCATTTCGCTCGTCTCGGGCCGCTCGGTCGGCATCGGCGCGTACCTGGTCCGCCTTGGGCAGCGCATTGTGCAGCACAAGTCCCCGCCCATTCTCCTCACCGGCGCCGGTGCGCTCAACAAGCTCCTCGGCTCGCAGGTCTACACCTCCAACAACCAGCTTGGTGGCATCAAGATCATGCACGCCAACGGCGTCTCGCACCTAGTCTGCGAGAACAACCTCGACGGCGTTCGCGACATTGTCAAGTGGATCTCGTACGTGCCGGCCGTCCGTGACGGCCCGCTGCCGTGCCTCCCGTCGCCGGTCGACGGCTGGGACCGTGACATTGCGTACACGCTGCCGCCGTCGGGCGCGGCCGACCCGCGCGCGATGCTCGCCGGCGCCTCGGCCGCCGACGGCTGGGTCTCGGGCTTCTTTGACCGCGACTCGTTTGTCGAGACGCTCGCTGGGTGGGCCCGGACGGTGGTGACTGGCCGCGCGCGGCTCGGCGGCATGCCCGTCGGTGTCATCGCCGTCGAGACCCGTTCGGTGACCACCGTGGCGCCGGCCGACCCCGGAGACAAGACCTCGCAGGAGATGGTGTACCCGGAGGCCGGCCAGGTGTGGTACCCCAACTCGGCGTCCAAGACGGCCCAGGCCATCAACGACTTTAACTTTGGCGAGCAGCTCCCGCTGTTCATCTTTGCCAACTGGCGCGGCTTCTCGGGAGGCATGCGCGACATGTTCAACGAGGTCCTCAAGTTTGGTTCGCACATTGTCGACGCCCTCCGCAAGTACAAGCAGCCCATCTCCATCTACATCCCGCCCAACGGCGAGCTCCGCGGCGGTGCATGGGTCGTCCTCGACACCACCATCAACGCCGACATGATCGAGATGTACGCGAGTGAGTCGGCCCGCGGTGGCATCCTCGAGCCCGCCGGTGCCGTCGAGATCAAGTACAAGGAGCGCCACCTGCGCGCCACCATGCTCCGTCTCGACGACGAGTGCAAGCGCCTCGCCGAGGAGCTCGCCGCCGCCGACGCCGGCTCGGACGCCGCCACTGCCGCCGCCGCCGCCCTCACCGCCCGCCAGGACGACCTCATGCCGTACTACCGCCAGGTCGCGGTCCAGTTTGCCGACCTCCACGACACGCCCGGCCGCATGCTCGCCAAGGGCGTTGTCAAGTCGGTCGTCCCGTGGCGCAACGCCCGCCGCTTCTTCTACTGGCGCATGTCGCGCCGTGTCGGCCTCCACGGCCTCGCCCGCAAGCTCGTCGCCGGCAACGCCGCCACCTCGTATGCCGCCGCCGTTGACATGCTCCATGCCTGGATCGCAGCCGCCGGTGTCGACCTCGACAACGACCGCGCCGTCGCCGAATACGTCGCCATCCACCGCGCTGACCTCGACGCCCGCGTCTCCACTGCCGACCTCGCCGTCGCCCGCGGCCTCGCCGGCAAGCTCCGCACGCTCCTCGCTGGCCTCTCTGACGATGAGCGTGCCGCTGTCATGGCCGAGCTTAACTGAGTCTGCCAATTGCGAGATAAAGCCTAACATGCATCTCGCCGGTATGTCGACTGGCGGCGAAACCGAGCGGGAGCCTGCCTGCGTCTGGCGGATGCTGCGGTTAGAAGCATCTCTCTCTAACTAACCAAACAAAGTAGCAATGGGAGCCAACGTGAGCTTTGAGAAGCCGTCGTCAAAGGTCCTCAAGAAGGTCAAGTCGCAGGACAACCGTACGCCAGTACTTCCGTTGCCAGTTCCCCTCCCCTCCCCCTCAACACACATGCACCATTCCCCCCTCCCCTCTGTCCTGCTTGCCCGTAGCAGCAGCCCAGCTCGCAGTGTCTGGTTCCGTTTGGGTTCAACCCACGGTCAGTTTTTTTTCGCTGTCGTTGTCCCTCGCCCGCCAACCGAGCCCCCGCTTGGTGTTGGTGCGACCCACGCTGACGAACAACCGGGCGCAGGAGCTGTACCAAGCCATACACCAAATCATACACGCTACCAACAGAGTCTTGTCCCGTACACATGGCCGCTTGACCTGGTTGTTGGCCTGGGGCCACCCATGGTGCCCTGGATAGGGAGGGAGCTCGAAGAAGAAGAGCTGGCCAAAGCAGCGAGGCAGCAGCGGGTGACCGTCGCTTGGCCGTCGTTCCGTTGACTGGGCGATTTCCTTCGGTGCGGCTGTTACCGGTTGGCGGAGGGTGGAGAGCGGAGAGACTCATGATGGTTGGCGGGCTGCGAATGGCACATGGTGGTGGAGATACAGTGACCCGCGAGGAGCTGTTCCGGCTGAAGAACAAGCTCAAGCGCGTGGCGCGGCGTGAGTCGGGCATCTCGCCCGAGGCGTGGAAGACGGCGATGGGCAAGCTCGGAATCACGAACAAGAAGTTTATCAAGTCGTTCTACGACCTGTTTGATGACGACGGTGAGCAGTGGGTCGACTACAAGGAGGTGGCGGTGTACTCTGCACTTGTGGGGCGTGCCAAGCCGGAGAAGAAGATCGAGTACTGCTTCCGGGTGTTTGACAAGAACGGCGACGGCTATCTCTCCACCTCTGAGCTTGCGACGCTGTTTGAGGCTGTGGCGCGGTGCGCGATGCGTGTGACCTATGCCGCGCCCGGCGTGGTGCCCAAGGGCGAGAAGCCGTCGTTTTCGATCCGCAAGAAGGACGAGGAGAAGATTGCCAAGGCTGCCAAAAAGGTGCTCAAGGCGATCGACTCCAAGTCGGACAAGCGGGCGTCGTACGAGGAGATGAAGGCTGCGGTTGAGCATGAGTCTGTTGAGACCGTGCTCGACTTTTTCGGCGCGTTTACCAAGGCTCTGCCTGACGCCATCGAGCGATCGGGCGCTGACTCGCACTCGTCGACCGACGACGGTACCACCCGCGCGGCGTCGTCCAAGAGCAAGAAGGGCAAGAGCAAGAAGGGCTCGTCGTCGGACAGCGGCTCGAGCTCGAAGAAGAGCAAGGGCAAGAAGGGCTCGGCCAAGGGCAAGGGCAAGGGCAAGAAGGGCTCGGCCAAGGGCAAGGGCAAGGGCAAGAAGGGCTCGGCCAAGGGCAAGGGCAAGAAGAAGGGCGGCAAGGGCAAGAAGGGCTCCAAGAAGGGCAAGAGCTCGTCCGACGACGGCTCGGACTCGGGCTCGGGCAAGAAGGGCTCGAAGAAGGGCAAGGGCAAGAAGGGCTCGGCCAAGGGCAAGGGCAAGAAGGGCTCGGCCAAGGGCAAGGGCAAAAGGGCTCCAAGAAGGGCAGCAAGGGCAAGAAGGGCTCCAAGAAGGGCAAGAGCTCGTCCGACGACGGCTCGGACTCGGGCTCGAGCAAGAAGGGCTCGAAGAAGGGCAAGGGCAAGAAGGGCTCGGCCAAGGGTAAGGGCAAGAAGGGCGACAAGGGCTCGAAGAAGGGCTCGAAGAAGGGCTCGAAGAAGGGCTCGAAGAAGGGCTCGAAGAAGGGTGACAAGGGCTCCAAGAAGGGCTCCAAGAAGGGCGCAAAGGGTGGCAAGAAGGGCTCCAAGAAGGGCGACAAGGGCTCCAAGAAGAGCGCCAAGGGCGGCAAGAAGGGCTCCAAGAAGGGCGACAAGGGCTCCAAGAAGAGCGCCAAGGGCGGCAAGAAGGGCTCCAAGAAGGGCGACAAGGGCTCCAAGAAGAGCGCCAAGGGCGGTAAGAAGGGCGGTAAGAAGGGCGGCAAGAAGGGCGGCAAGAAGGGCTCCAAGAAGGGCAAGAAGGGCTCCAAGAAGAAGTAAGTGGCCTCCGCCTCGTGACCTTGCATCCACGCCTCGCTCACGGCGCTCGCGTCCGTAATCCGTTTTACGTTGTTGTACTACCACCACATCATCTCACACGAAACAAACAAACTCATCTCATCAAATCCCATCACGCAACGGCGCGCTCACGTCAGGCTCGTCCACGCCGAGAGGTAGACGTAGAGGCCAAAGGTGTAGACGACGGCGCCGATGGGGAAGAGGATGTCCAGCACACCGCGCATGAGCAGGTACTTGCGCGCCGCGTCAGAGTAGACGGCAATGGGCAGAAAGATGTACACGACCCAGAGTGCGAGCTTGGCGAGGACACACAGCGTTCGTTCGCGGACGTCAAAGAGTGCCACCGTGTAGCGGTCGGCGAGAAACGACATAAACGGCAATGCCGTCCAGTACCACGAGAGGTCTGGGACAAGGACCGACGACGAGATGACGGTCTCCATCCCATGCTGGATGACAAGCGAGACAACAATGAGATATGCGAGCGTGAGCATGCCGTACAGCAGCGCCCGCGCGTAGGCAACATGGACCAGCCGCGTTCCCTGCGCGCCCTCGCTCGCACGCACAATGCGCGCAATCATCTCGCCTACTTGCGCCTCGAGCTCCGCGTCCGCCACTGTTAGCCCACCGCCCTGCCGCGGCATACCACGCGTGTCCAGCATGACTTCGGCATCGTCGGCCTCGAGCGCGTTGGCGCGGAACAGCGCACGCAAACGCCGATCATGGACATAGTGGTAGTCTGTGCCCAAAAACACCGCGGGAATGTCCTCATCAGGTCCGTACGTCTTCAGCGACGTCCTTGACCGCCTGCTCGTGCCCTCGTCGCCGCCGCCGCTCTCGCCGCCGCCGCCGCTCTCACCGCCACCGCCGTCGTCCTCACCGCCGCCGCCGCCCTCGTCGCCGCCGCCGCCACTCTCACGGCTGCCACCGCTCCCGGAGCGCGGACGGGAGCCCGAGGCGGCCATAACCTCGTCGCGATCTGAAAAGCCGACGGCATAGTACTCGACCTCACCAAGGATGTCTGTGTTGGTCATTGGGTTCTTGGCCGCAAAGGGCCTGTCCGGATCATATCGCGAGACAAGGCGCTGTGAGCCCGGGAGTCTCCGAAACAGGACCTTGTTCATGCCATGCGCCGAGTAGTACGAGAAGAAGACCTTGCCCACGTCCGTCCGCGAGCCCGTCTTGACCGCAGCGAGCAGGAGGATCTTCCCCTGACTAGCAGCCGCTACATGGAGAGCGTGGAAGGTTTCGAGGGTGAACGAGTCATTGGTAGCCGACGGTACCGTCCGTGGCTCGCCCGTATGTGGCCGCAGGAGGACAAGCCGTCCACCGTCGTCACTCCTGCTCTCGTTTTGTCTCCCCTCGCCACCTCGTTCTGCCATGAGACGCGTCGTTACCCTCTGCTACCTCCAACCTCACCCGCCGTCGTCCTCATTCCGCATGAGCGTTTGGAGGGGGGGTGGGGGGTGACACCGCAGGACAAAAAATATTTTAGTCGTGAGGACCGGAGGGGGGGGTGGGTGAGGGAGGGGGGGGTGGGGAAGTGTGGCGGAGAGGGAGAGAAAAATATTTTCCGACGGACAGACCGGCCTTCCACAGAATTCGCACAGGTGGTGACGACAGCAGAGGTGGACGGACAGGCAGACGGTGAGTAAGCCGGCGGAAAGGGGGGAGGGATACAATTGACTATAGTATATTACAACAACTACACATCATGGCTGACGCATCTGTAGGTAGAGCGCAAGAGGGGAACGGGACCGAGGGAGATGGAGGGAGGGCGGTGGTTGGGTCCTCCAGCGCTGTTGGGGCCCCGGGGGGAGGTGGAGAGGAGGAACGGGCGCGGAAGGAGGGAGCCACCAACCTCGAGCAACTCACGTGGTCATGGCTGGGGCTGGGGTCGGGCATGGGATGGGGGGGGGGGGATGGGTTGCAGACTACCTGCACCTTTAACGTTGCTATGTCGTGTGGCGGCTGCTCCGGGGCTGTGACCAAGGCCCTCAACCGTGTCGATGGTAGGTGTGGGCGGTGCGGTCGTCTGGGTGGAGCCGGTGTGGAGCGGAAGGAGGGAGGGGGGGGGGGGGAGAGGGGGGGAGGGGAGGGGGTCTGTGCCGTAGTGGCCGGCATCGGTACGTTTACTCACGACAATGAGGGGAGGGACGGATCCAGGTGTGGACAAGGTTGAGATCGACATGGAGGGCCAGAAGGTGACCGTGACCGGGTCGGTGGCCAAGGAGGTCATGTTTGAGACCATCCAGAAGACGGGCAAGGCCGTGTCGTACGCCGAGTAGCGTCCGAGTTGCGTCCGAGTAAAACGACCGCGTGTCGCCACGCAAGCAAACTTGCCCATCACTCAGGGATAGGCTGCAAAGACCTCGGCGACGTCGAGCTGTAGCAAATCACACTCGATGGCCGTGTCGGGAGCAAGGCCCGGGAGGAGCGGGCGGAGGATGTCGCCGAGCGAGGGGACCGTCCGTCCAAGGTCCGAGTGCACAAACTCCTTGATGTAGGTGCCAGCTTGCGTCTCGAGCGAGAGCACAAAGTAGTGATCGTTGATGTACGACGCCGAGAGCGCGTGGATCGTGCGGCTTCGCGCCAAGTTGGGCCGGCGGTGGAGGACCCGGACCGGCGTCGGCTGAGTGATGGTGAGCGGGGCGAGCGGGGCGAGCTGTGCCAGCGCTACTTTGGGCACCGCCACCGAGCACGAGACGACAGCGTAGTACGCCTTGCGCTTGGCGGTGATGGCCTCCTTGATCGGCTTGGTCTCGTCACGGCTCACCACGCCCAGCCGCGAGAGCGCAACCCGGTCCTCGGAACTGTTGAGCGCCACCGCAGCCGTCGCCAGCGACGTCCCAGTCGCCACCCGCCGGGCCGGATCCTTGACCTCGAGAATGAACGGCCGCCCGGAGCCCAGCATCCGCACGTCGAGGTCCTCGCGCCCGCACGAGACAAAGTTGTACGTGAACGGGCTGAGCGCGGCGTCCGAGAACAGCGGCACCAGTGCACGCCCAACAATCTCGCCTACCGAGTCGTCGGCCAGCCGCTCCTCGCCCACAACCATGGCAGTGTTCGAGATCTCACGCGAGTACTTGTTGTACCGCCCCACAACATACACCGGATCGCGGGTGATCTGCGGCGCCGTAGTGAGGACCATCGCCACTGGTGCCGCAGCAGCCATCAGCGGCTCCACGGTCTCCAGCAGCGCGCCCAACCGTGCTCGCGTCGGAAACAGCCGCGCAAGCGTCTGGTGAATGATGGGAAGGGTCGGCCCGCGTGCGTTGCCTGCCTTGCGATTGCGCCGCCGCTTGGCCAGCCGCATCGCGTGCGCCTGTCGCCCGCCCTCGGGCACAGCCTCTGCGCCCGCACCGCCGGCCTCGCTTGCCGCCACCCCGGCCACCACCGGCTTCCACGGCAGCTTGGCTGGCGCAGCCAGCTGGCGGATGGCCGCGTCGATCGCCGCCGCGAGCTCGCCCTCGCCGCCGATGCGAACCACAAGAACCCCCTCAGACTGCTCCAGCTCGGACGCCTTGACCACGTCTATGCCCAGTGCAGCACTCATTGCCTCTAGCGCCGCGTTGGAGTACACCACAGACTTGCTCATCACCTGCTCGTACACCACAAGATCTTCGCCATCGTCACCACTGCCGTCGCCGCTTGCCTCCATCGCATCCAGTGTCACCCGCGCCCGCATCATAAAGGTCGCAAAGCCGAGCAGCGGCCCAAACTCGACCGATGCCCGGAAGCAGAGCCGTCGACTCGCAGCAGAGACCGGAGGAAGCGATGGAGATGCCTGCGGCGACAAGTCGGCACCTCCTTGACCACCACCAGGCGACGTGATCTGCATCAGATCTTCGACGGTGGCGACTTGCGGGGCATAGCCCTTTGCAGCAAAGAGCTTCGACAGGCACTCGAGCCATGCAGCATGTGGTGCGGTGAAGGAGAAGCAGCCGGCGCACGGCTCGTCGGTCGGGCGGCTGGTCTCCACGTGCCGGACCGAGGTGCACGACGTCGGGCACAGGCTCCGGCAATAGGCGCAGACAGGCAGTTGGCTGGCCATGGTCAGAGTGTGATGCGGGTGGGGTGTTAGCAGTGGGGGGTAGTGGTGGCGGTGGCGGGGTGAGGTGCGGTGGGGTAGCGGTAGCCGGCTGACGGGCTGTCGTGGGATCGGGCGGAAGGGGCGGAACGGGGGACGGCGAGGGGTGATGGTGATGAGGGTGATGGGCTGATTAAGGGGGAGGAGGGGAGGGGGGGAGGGAGGGACAAAGAGAGAGGATGGGAGTGTGGCGATGGTGGTGGTAGTGATATGTCATGCCGGCAATGATGGAGTTGGTAGCCGTGATCGCGGCGGGCGACATGGGTCGGAGAAGGGCTGCACACCACATCGCGACTTGGGCTACACATCGCGAGTGGGCTGAACAAGGACAAGGACAACAGGTGTCACTCGAGACGCATAAAGACCTTGTGTGCGCCGATGAGGGCCGAGACAAGGCCGAGGACACCCTGGACCGGAACCGACCAGCGGACAATCTTGAGCGAGGAGAGGAGGAGGGCAAGGTTGGCGAGGTTGGCCACAAAGTTGCGGGCGAGCCGGCGGAGGAGCGCCACCACGGCCGTCTCCTCCACCTTGGCCAGCGTGGCACGGGTCGACTCAGGCGCGGCAGCGGCGGCGGATCGCAGCGACTCGAGCGCCCGCAGCGACTTGCGCAGAGCCATGACATCGAGCACAAACGACATGCAGAGCCTCAGCAGCGAGGCCTTGTTCTTGGTGTCCTTCAGCGCGCGGTACGCCTTGTTGTCGAGCTCGATCAGATGCAACCGAGCGAGCGCCAGCGTGTGATCTAGCAGATAGTAGACGAGCGACGCGGCGTCGCCGACCGCCATCACCGCCTGCTTCCCCGGCGACTGTTGAACTAGCGTCCTCGTCACAAACTTGCGCACCACCGTGAGGCTCTTAAAGTACCGCAAGCTCTTTCTCGACGTGCTCATCATGTTGTGGATGCGGATGAGCTTGCTCGCCGCGCCCCCATCACTCCCGCCGCCGCCGCCGCCGCCGCCGCTGTTGCCGCCATCGGTCGAGCTGACAAAGACCGTCATGATCAACGCCGTCGTCTGCACCAACTTGAACACCTTGTCCATGCCCGACGCCCGCGATGTGAACAGCAGCGCCCTCTCGAGCATGCTCAGCTGCGGCTCGGCCACCAGCTTGTCCATGGCCGTCTTGCTCTGTGCACGTCGCCTCAGCGGCGAGAACAGCCCGCCAGCACCACCATCCCCAACTCGAAGCCCTTGCCACCCATCCAGCTGCAACGCCATCCCCTCGCTCTTCGGCTCGTCTTCGCACAAGGGCAAAACCTCGCTCTCCAGCGTCGCGTGTCGCCCACTCGGTGGCGACCGCCTGAGCACCACTCACTGCCATCTTTTTTCAATTTGAGGCGAGCCTCTGGATTCCACTTGCTCGCCCTCTAGCTCGGCAATGGACTCTGGCCGCAAGCTTTCAGGCATGTCATCGCATACTACTTTGCTTTCCGCGTCGGATGGTGTGCTTGAGGGTGGTGAACAAGGCGTGCGTCCACGTTTCCAAGACAAAGATTGCAGCAAGGCAACCGGCAGCAGAACAAGGATCGAACGCGATCATCGTCGCTGTGTCACGGCCACAATGACCATGGCTCCGCCGCGCTCTGCACCTTCTCCATCTGTGTGTTCACTTTAGTTGATGCCCGGGACATCGGGGACAAAGTAAAAGGTGGCGACCAGGGCAGCGTAGACGATGCAAAAGGCGGCGCCCTGAAAGTAGTTGCTCTGCCCGTCGAGCGAGTTGTAGTTGAGGATGATGACGCCAAAGATGACGGCAAAGAGGTGGAGCTGCGGGAAGATGAGCGTAAAGGTGTCGGCGTCGTCGGTGCCGACAATAGCAGAGAAAAAGGTGAGGACAGGCATCTGGATGAGGGTGATCTGAGCCGCGGCCGAGGCGCCGATTTCCATGGAAAGCATGACGTTGTTTTGGAGCGCAAACTGGACGGCGTTGGCAAACTCTGCGGTGTTCGGCACGAGTGCGAGGAGGGTGAGGCCGAGGAAGAGCTCCGAGATGCCGAGCGAGGCGAGGATGGGCTGGATCGAGTCGACAAGCGTCTCGGAGACGAGAGCAAAGAGAATGGTGCACGAGAGGAGGACCGAGATGCAGACGAGGTTGGACCATGCCGGCGCGTTGTGGCCACCGCCCTCCTCGGAGCCGTTGCTGTCGTCGTCGGAGAACTCGGTCACCTCGTAGATGTGCTTGTGGGTCTTGAGCGTGAAGAGGAGACCGACAAAGTAGGCCATAGGGAGAATGGCCGCGCAGACGTACGAGAGCGGGCGTGCGCGATCCTGGTAGATGGGGTCTGCGTTGAGCTCGTTGGCGCCCTCGATGTAGGCACAGCCTGTGCAGGCGAGCGACGAGTTGGTTGGGGCGCAGAAGGTACAGGAGAGCGAGTACGTGCCGTAGATGTTGTAAAAGACGGTGGGCGAAAAGGCGCCGATGATGGCGATGAGGAGGAGGACCGACGAGACGCCGGCGGCAGTGGCGTTGAACCGCTGTGACTTGAACTTGAGCCCACCGACGACCATGGAGAGGCCGGGCATGAAGAGCATGACGCCCAGGAGCGAGCCGGTGACGGCGGCCTTGACGATCGATGAGTAGCCCGAGAGCAGGAGCTTGGCGTAGAGAATGAGCTCGATGATGGAGCCAAAAGTGGCGTTGAGGACCGCGCCTACGGCAAAGGTGGACTGAGCCGAGATCGACGAGATGGCCATGCCGATAAAGTACGCGATGGGGACGGTAGAGAGGAGCGAGGAGACAAAGATGACACCCGGCGTGGAGATGGGCTTGAGGAAGACCACGTGCTCACCGAGGTAGCCCAGGATGAGGGTGAGTCCCACAAAGGGGAACATGTTGAGGAGAACGACGTTGACGCCAAAGCGCTCGTAGTAAAAGTACCGCGAGTCTGCGGCCTTGTACGTGCACATAACAATCTGCGCACCGGCTCGCGGCGTCGACTCGCCTACAAACAGCGTCAGTGGCTCTTCATACAGCGCCTTGAGCCCGCGCATGTTGAGCTCAAACATGGGGATCATGACGACCGACATCCACATCATGGCCGAGACAACGACGTGGACGAGAGCAAGGACAGGAAAGGCAAGCACATAGTATACCAGCTTGCCGAGCAGCGCCTCGACCGCGCCCTGATCGGCTGCCGCGTTGTTGTGCGCCTGCGTCTCGAGCCCGTTGTTCGCGTTGATGCCAGCTAGCGACGACGACCGCCCGCCGAGGCCCGACAGCGGGCGCTCGGCGTCGCCGGCGGCGTCGATGCGGCCGCCCTCGCCGGCTTCGGCCCGAGCGCTCTCGCCGGCCGAGCCAATCGACACTGTCGAGCCGTACAGCCGCGCCTTGGCCGGGAGCAGCGATGGAGTCACGTTGCCACCACCGACTCGCTCGAGCGCACGGCCAAACGGCCACAGGTACCACGACGAGAGGTGCCAGAGCAGCGACGCGTGGTAGCGCCCGACCCACGAGATGGCGAGCACGCCGGCGAGCGCTAGGTACAGCAGCGCAATCCACCAGCCAAAGAGAATGAGCCAGACCACATTGCCGACCGTCACCAGTGACGCCTCGCCAAAACCAAAGATCGAGCGCGATGCCGCGGGCTCAAACGCCGGCAGTGGCGCCGGCGAGCTCGTCGCATCGTCGCGGAGTAGCCGTGGCGTCGACGACCGCGTCACAGACTTGGCCGTCGGCGCAAAGCCGAACAAGTAGTTGAGTACCTGATGCCGCTCCTCGAGGTTGCGCGGGCGGACGTTGAGGCCGTCAAACCCACCGGCGACCGACGCATCCTCTTCCTCCGACAGCGACAGTGACTCGCGCCGTCGCCGCCGCGGGCGGATCCTTGGTACCGTCGACGACATGTCGGCGCTGCACCCCAGGCGCGAGGTATCGCGTGCCGAGCGGAAGGCCACCGGTGTGCGCGCGGCGGGCAGGGTTGGAAGACAGGCGGGCAGTGGCGTGAGCAGGGCGGAGGGCGGGCAAGGACAGAGACAGCGACCGGAGCAGGGCAGAGGGAAGGCAGCAGGCAGAGGCCAAGTCCAAGGTCGAGAGGGCGCGTGAGTTCAAGTGGTGGGCTTCGGGGGAGAGGGGGTACGGGGGGAAGGGGGGGAGGGGGGGAGGGGGGGGGAAGGGGGAGGGGGGGATACAGTCAGGGCAAGTGCCCCTGCTACCATACCTCCTATTGTATAGCCCTCCAGAGTGCAGTGGTGGGCAAGTATAGCGCCACCCCCTCTGCCACTCCGGCTGCTGCTGCTGCTGCTGCCGTCGCCACTCGTCCCGTCACTGGCGGCAATGCGCGTGACTCTGCGTGCACGGCGGCGGAGGAAATATTTTCGGCGGTGTGGTGTGTATCGAGAGGTTCAAGTTGGGTGCCCAGCCCTGCCCGGCCGTGTCCGCCACTCTTGTTGTTGGCCGGTCGATTCTGGTGCGCACTGCTACGAGTCGCTAGCACTCGCGCCTGGTACCGTTGCTTCGCTAATAGCTCCGATGGCGTCGACAACTGCTCACCTTAATCTCGGGTGTACGCGGGCGTGCGACTGCAGCTCATGCACACGCTGGTCATCGTGCAAATCGGCGAGATGTGCTCGCAATAATGGCCAGCGCAGTGAAATCGAGGAGAGCTTGGAGCACTCTTCCAAGCCGTCGACCCGGAGCGCTTGGACAGCACTGGCTTCAGGGGCTAGAGTTTCATTCAATCGACCACGGCGGAGCTCCGGAGATCGTCTTGCGAGCGGGCGGCTGCCTCGCGGGCAGCCATCGACCGGCCCATGAGCTCGAGCTGCTTCTGGTGGAACTTCTGCATCTCTGTCTTGCGGGTGGCATGGACGAGTGCCTTGGCGTCGAGGCCAACGAGGACCGTGCCGACAGCGAGGATGAGGATGATGAGGATGACGAGCGAGAGGTTGAACGCGGCCTGGACCCGCTCGCGGTGCTTGGCGAGAAAATACGCCTGCGTCACGTTGCCCGGCGTGTAGATGGGCTCCAGAAAGACGTCGTAGTGCTTCCACACATCGCGCGTCACATCGCCGTATACGGAGACGCCGGCTGACCGGACGGCGAGGACCGGCAACGTCGACGGGTACGTTTGCACAAACCGGGCGAGCGCGAGCGACGCCGTCGCCGTGTCGTTCGAGCCGAGTGCCGTCTCCAGCGTCCAGAGCCCGGCCTCGGCGTGCCCGACCCACTCGGGGGAGATCTGCATGAGCGAGACCGCGAGGAACATAATGAGCACAATCGCCGTCATCTTGTTCGTTGTTGTGTTGACAGCAGCCTCGGCCGCCGGCCCCAGCGCCGTCGCAGCATCGGCCCCGTCGTCGCCCGAGTCGAGCCAGCCGCGCGTCGACGCACCGTGCTGCTGGCCGATGAACCGCGAGATCTTGATGACTCGCACCACACGGACAAGCCGCGCTGCCCGCGCAGACGCGCGCGCCACCCGCCCGGTCCGTGCCACAGTGAGCCCTGAAATGGACGAGAAGAGGTCAAAGCCAAAGAGGAGGAGCACGTCCGGCACAAGCGAGACGAGCGCGAGCACGTCGAGCCAGAAGAAGAACGAGAGAAAGTACTTGCGGTCCGCCCACGACGTCGCCACAAGCTCGACCAGAAACATGACAAAGACAATGACCTTGAGGATGAGAAAGACAAACACCATCGTGTCGTGGCCCGACGACCGGTCCGCGCCCACAATGGTCACCAAGTCGTCGATGAACAGCACATACACCGTCACCACAAGCATCACAATCGTCACTCCCAGCGAGTCCATCAGTGTCGCCACCTTTTCCTGGCTCGTCTTCTCCTTGGGCGCCGGCTTGGCCCGAGGTCGCCGCGGCCGCGGCGGAGAAGCTGCAGTCGCCGGCGCACTCGTCGCCGGCGTCGGCGTCGGCGTTGGCGTTGGTGCTGCGGGCTTGGCGCTCGCCGGCTCGGCGGTCGCTGGCTTTGGCGCCACAGGATCGGGCTCAGACTTGGCAGCGGCTCCTGCCGGTGCAGGCTCGGGACCGGCCTGCTGCGGCGTTGAATCGGCGTACTCGGTCGTCGGTAGTGTCTGCGATGCAGGGTCGGCGAGGACGCCGGCCTGCGCCACGCGAGAGCGGCTGACTTTCTTGGTGTAGACCTTGGGAAAGTAGCCGACCGCACCGGAAACATTGCTCCCCTTCCACCACTCGCCGCGATCACCAAGCACCGCCAACATCTCACCCTTTTGCAGCGGCAGCTCGTCGGCAATCGACGGCTCGGACGGGTACAGCGCCACCACGTAGTGGTCGGCGTCGGCCGGCAGGCCCGCACCCGGCGGCGGCGCCGCAAAATCGAGCGGCGATGCTGCCATCGGCGATCCGGCGCCGAGGTCATCCATACCTACTCCGCGTGATCCGTATCCGACCTCGTCGGCCAGGTCCGACGAGTAGTACTCGTCATCGTGGTCGGGTCTGTGGCGACCATATCCCCCACCACGCCCGATCTCCCGGCCGCGGCTCCTGCTCCTGCTTCGCGGCGCCCGTCCATACGGCGAGCCGTAGCCGTCGCCAAACGGCGCGCCATAACCGTCGCCAAACGGCGCGCCGTAGCCGTCACCGTAGCCTGCGCCACGGCTGCCGCCGCGCGGGGGCGAGCGACTGCGGCTGCGTCCGAGGCCATACATGCCCAAATCGACGTCGACTCCAGCCGGCGAGACCGACTGAGCCGGTGGCGGCAGCTGGCCCGCCCTTGCCCATGACCCAGCCCCCATTCCGGTCTCCATTCCCGAGCTCACCGGTCGCTGCAGCGATGGCAATGGCGCAAAGCCCGTGTCCGAGTACCGCGACGAGAGGCCATGCCCGAGCCCGCCACCAGCCCCAGCCGCACCGCCATACCCAGCCCCAGCCCCAGCCCCAGGCCCAGCCCCACTGAGGTACTCCATGCCTCTGCCATGGCTCGGAGTGTAGCTCTGTCCACGCGGCGGAAAGTAGCCCGCACCACCTCCACCGGCTCCCCGCAGACCACCAACACCACCGCCAACACCACCGCCACCACCACCGCCAACAGACCCACGCAGCTGTGACCGCCGTGGCTCGTGTGCTGGTCCAGGCGTGTACATGCTTCTTGCTGTGTTTACAGCAGAGTGGCGTGTGTCGTGTATCGCCCCCCCCCCCCCTCCCTCCTCCCGCCCAACCCTTGCCTTGCCTGCCAACGGTCACTGCTCGTCGGCCTGCTGCCGGCAGCCGACAGGGTGCCTAAAACCCCCGCCGAGGCGGACGCGCCGCTTCACGCCATTCGTCTTCCACATCAACATCATGTCGGCCGGCAACAACAAGTTCTCTGAGCTCTGCACCCACAAGTACTCTGAGCAGGCTATCTGGTTCCTCAACGGTATGCCTCCCCCCTCCCCGTCTCCCCTCTCCCCCGTGAGCCTTATCCCCACTCTGTCCCCCTCTCAAGCTTGACGACCTTTTCCTCAGAACGGTGACTGATC